TTTTTCTTTTTTTTTTTAATTTCAACCCCTTTGTTGAAATTCAGAATTTTGAGAAAATGTTTAAAAGATTGAAACTTGGAAAATGTTGAGCAGATCTTATATCCATTTTGTTACAGGATCCATCCCCACATCTGACAGCCATTAGGCAACTGGCATCCAATACATGAGGGCGGCCCCTCTTAGCAACACGAACACTCCATGCTGTACCCAGCTCCTCCACGTGTATTAACAAGTCTTGTGTGTCCCTTCTCATTTCCATCCCTCTTGCTATTCCCTTTCTGCTGTTTGGTTGTTCTTGTATCTTTTGGTGCCACCTTTCCTTTTCCTGGGGCCAACTGCTGCTGGTGCCCCGTCATGCACATGTCTGTGTTTGAGAGAGAGAAAGGAACAATGTGTCTGGTTTTGCCCTCAGTTACTGTGGATTTTGACACTGGTGTCACTCCACTGACTTCAGTGTAGTTTCCGCAGAATTTTCACTGATGTAACAGAACAAAATCTGGTCCTCTGTAAAAGCAAAATTGTCACTCCTTACTCTTAAAAGACTTTTGCAACAAGACAACATTGTCATTTGATCAACTGAATGGAATATTAACTCCAGCAGCCACGCTGGCTAACATACAGTGCATCAGCTGTGTAGAAACAGCAATAAGGACCAGGCTGCAGGGCATTTCCTGTGGATTAGTGAGCGGGTGTGGTCCCTTAATTGCACCTCAGGCCATCTCCTCCCAGCTGGTCCTTAATCCCCAGGAAATGCCCGGCTCTTCAATTATTATTGCTTAAACAACTGCTGGTTTGAAACTCTGTGCTAATGAAATTGCACAACACTTAAACTGTAGCCAAAGACCATTCCAAACGCTTTATTTGGGCAGGAAAGTGTTTGCCCACCATTTAAAAACCAAAAAAATCCAAATCCCTTTAGCCACAGAATACTTCATATATTATAAAGAAAAGATCAGTTACGCAACTATGATAACTTGTCTTTGGCAAGAGATTGCAGGGCAGTATTGAGTTCTGTGCACATATATTTGGGGCCAAAAACCTATAAATGGGAATTCTTTGTTACTGCTGAGAGTGTAGCTTCCTTGTACAGATAGCAGATATCATAACGAATTAACAGATAAGTAGATTTCATATCTGCAATGATGACTTGCACTGGACTTAACTGCATATGTTACCTATATTTGTGATATGAAATATTGCCCTACCTTAAAACCCCCTTCCACTAAACTCAATATATATTTAGTAGGCAGATATGGGTTTTCTAATGAGGGGAACTTTTTAGCTCATGATTTAGGTACAACATAGGTAATATTTTCTACATTTTAAAATGGATGCCTAAATTGCTAGTAATCTTATGTAACGCTTGCACATGTACAAAATAGGTACTTGTGGACCCATGTAACAAGTGATTAGTGGTGTGCATATGTGTGTTTAACAAGGAGAAACTGAGTGCTAATATTTGAAAATCTAGCATCTTAAACGCTTAGTGATGAAATAACAAGTATATGGTGAGGTAATTTAAGCTCACACTTGAGTAATGTGAGTTACGCTGTAGGATGTAGACAATAAATCCATCTGAAGTCTCCCAAAATGAAAGAGAGGGAGAGAGAATGTTCTCAGCAAACTGTCACTAAGATGCTTTAGCTTCATAAAATTAAAACCTCCCTAGAAAATGAGTAGCCCCTTTCAAGTCTTCTGCTCCACCAGCTGGTTCGCATTAGTCGCAGTCTAAGACTATGGCGGCAGAGCTGTGCCCCATATCACAGTGAGTTCAGGGGGGAGAGGCCTCTCATCAGAAGGGGTCAGACCTCACTTTTTACAGTATAAATACAAGTTCCCCTAGAATAGCAGTGCAGTCTCTCTTTCAAACATTTCAAAACACCAAAGGCTGACCGTGCTAAATTTACTTTGTTTTAAAACCAGGCATTTTTGTGGCAGAGGGGGTCATGGAGGGAGAGAGAAAGGTGTTGACAATGCTGCACTGTATGTTGCAAGGGAATCTGTGCTACTGCTACCTACGGAGAAAACCCTGCTTTAGCTCTGCCATGGTTTGCTGCCGTAGAGACACTGTTGTTGACACTTGCATTCAAATTCATGTTTGTTGTTGTTGTTTGTTGTAACTTGGCCATAAAAATGTACTCTTAAACCTTTATTAAATGAGGTCTTCATGAACTTGGGAGGGAGATGTGATTGGGTATAGAGGGGGCGGGAAGATAGATGTACAGATGGGTACTTGTAATTTAGGGAGTCTTTTTAAATGAGAGATTAATTTTAAAAAATGGTTTGGAACATCCATCCCCCCTGGCCCAGCCAGTGGCTGGAAGGATGATCTGTCTTGGGCACCGGAGTCGGTGGATGGGGTTTCAAGTTTGGGGTTGGATGGGAGCAGATTCTCAAGGCTCAATGGAGAACAGGGAAAACCCCACTGCCAAAAACTAAGTTAAATTAAAAAATAGCAGTTTTTGTTGCGTCCGAGAATTTCTACAACCAAAAATAGGCATATCTTTTGAAGATGAATGTTTCCTGTGGGTGGTGGCTGAGATATCATCCGTTGAAATGTTCAAGAGAAGATAAGAGGAAGCCCTCCAGAGACAAGGGTAGAGGAGGATTCTTTCAAGCCCATCTATATATGAATGGCTGTTGTCACTATATTATCTGTACACTCGGTAAGATGCAATAAAAATGAAAATTCACTTTGCTTGATTCTTAACGCTTTAAAAATATCTACCCTCCTCTCAAAAAAAACTAGAGGCCTTTCTGGAAGATATACTTTAGTCAAACATCAGTTATTTGCCTCAGTACAGGAGTAGCTGGATGAAATTCCATGGCCAGGTCAGTCTAGATGATTTGATGGTTCCTTCTGGCCTTAAAATTTGTGAAATTATGGGAAATCCTTTATCTAGCCTGCCAGCTGAGGAAGACAGCAGCGCAGAATGGGGACATGTTAGTTGAGCCCATATTCAATAGCTGGTCTTGCTGGGCACAAGTCCTGCATGTTATCTGTGATGAGCTTAATTAGGATCATTGTAGGCTTTGGGCAGCAGCAGTATTGAGAGATAAGAGGAACCAGCCACTGGCTGAGCAGTAAGACCCATCCAAAACTAATTTCAACTGGAGGTTGCTGTTTGTGCATCTTAAGACGTAAGGTTCAGATTTTCGAAAGACAGACCTCTGTCTTTTTGCAGGCACAGTTTTGCCTGGAAAAATTGCACCAGCAAACTTAATAAATATGCTATGGAATTGTGTGAAACTTCAATAATTCTGGGAAAATACACAACAAATATTGAATAAATTGTTGGAACAGAATGTGGATTCTTCATAAGAACGTAAGAACATAAGAACGGCCATACTGGGTCAGACCAAAGGTCCATCCAGCCCAGTATCCTGTCTGCCGACAGTGGCCAATGCCAGGTGCCCCAGAGGGAGTGAACCTAACAGATAATGATCAAGTGATCTCTCTCCTACCATCCATCTCCACCCTCTGACAAACAGAGGTTAGGGACACCATTCCTTACACATCCTGGCTAATAGCCATTAATGGACTTAATCTCCATGAATTTATCTAGTTCTCTTTTAAATCCTGTTATAGTCCTAGCCTTTACAACCTTCTCAGGCAAGGAGTTCCACAGGTTGACTGTGCGCTATGTGAAGAAGCACTTCCTTTTATTTGTTTTAAACCTGCTGCCCAATAATTTCATTTGGTGGCCCCTAGTTCTTATATTATGGGAACAAGTAAATAACTTTTCCTTATTTACTTTCTCCACATGACTCATGATTTTATATACCTCGATCATATCCCCCCTTAGTCTCCTCTTTTCCAAGCTGAAAAGTCCTAGCCTCATTAATCTCTCCTCATATGGGACCCGTTCCAAACCCCTAATCATTCTAGTTGCCCTTCTCTGAACCTTTTCTAATGCCAGTATATCTTTTTTGAGATGAGGAGACCACATCTGTAGTCGAGATGTGGGCGTATTATGGATTTATATAAGGGCAATAAGATATTCTCTGTCTTATTCTCTATCCCTTTTTAATGATTCCTAACATCCTGTTTGCTTTTTTGACTGCCGCTGCACACTGTGTGGATGTCTTCAGAGAACGATCCACGATGACTCCAAGATTTCTTTTCTGATTAGTTGTAGCTAAATTAGCCCCCATCATATTGTATGTATAGTTGGGGTTATTTTTTCCAGAGTACATTACTTTACATTTATCCACATTAAATTTCATTTGCCATTTTGTTGCCCAATCACTTAGTTTTGAGAGATCTTTTTGAAATTCTTCACAGTCTGCTTTGGTCTTAACTGTCTTGAGCAGTTTAGTATCGTCTGCGAACTTTGCCACCTCACTGTTTACCCCTTTTTCCAGATCATTTATGAATAAGTTGAATAGGATTGGTCCTAGGACTGACCCTTAGGGAATACCACTAGTTATCCCTCTCCATTCTGAAAATTTACCATTTATTCCTACCCTTTGTTCCCTGTCTTTTAACCAGTTCTCAATCCATGAAAGGATCTTCCCTCTTATCCCATGACAACTTAATTTACGTAAGAGCCTTTGGTGAGGGGCCTTGTGAAAGGCTTTCTGGAAATCTAAGTACACTATGTCCACTGGATCCCCCTTGTCCACATGTTTGTTGACCCCTTCAAAGAACTCTAATAGATTAGTAAGACATGATTTTCCTTTACAGAAACCATGCTGACTTTTGCCCAACAATTTATGTTCTTCTATGTGTCTGACAATTTTATTCTTTACTATTGTTTCAACTAATTTGCGGGTACTGACGTTAGACTTACCGGTCTGTAATTGCCAGGATCACCTCTAGAGCCCTTTTTAAATATTGGCGTTACATTAGCTATCTTCCAGTCATTGGGTACAGAAGCGGATTTAAAGGACAGGTTACAAACCATAGTTAATAGTTCCACAATTTCACATTTGAGTTCTTTCGGAACTCTTGGGTGAATGCCATCGGGTCCCGGTGACTTGTTACTGTTAAGTTTATCAATTAATTGCAAAACCTCCTCTAATGACACTTCAATCTGTGACAATTCCTCAGATTTGTCACCTACAAAGGACGGCTCAGGTTTGGGAATCTCCCTAACATCCTCAGCCATGAAGACTGAAGCAAAGAATTCATTTAGTTTCTCCGCAATTATTTTATCGTCTTTGCGTGCTCCTTTTGTATCTCGATCGTCCAGGGGCCCCACTGGTTGTTTAGCAGGCTTCCTGCTTCTGATGTACTTAAAAAAACATTTTGTTATTACCTTTCGAGTGTTTGGCTAGCTGTTCTTCAATCTCCTTTTTGGCTTTTCTTATTACATTTTTACACTTAATTTGGCAGTGTTTATGCTCCTTTCTATTTACCTCACTAGGATTTGACTTCCACTTTTTAAAAGATGCCTTTTTATCTCTCAGTGCTTCTTTTACGTGGTTGTTAAGCCACAGTGGCTCTTTTTTAGTTCTTTTACTGTGTTTTTTAATTTGGGGTATACATTTAAGTTGGGCCTCTATTATTGTGTCTTTGAAAAGTGTCCATGCAGCTTGCAGGGATTTCACTCTAGTCACTGTACCTTTTAATTTCTGTTTAACTAACCTCCTCATTTTTGCATAGTTCCCCTTTCTGAAACTAAATGCCACAGTGTTCATTAAATCAAAGAATTGTTCTCCTGGGGAACCCTCCAGAAGATGACTCTGCTTATCACAAACAGAAACTTCTGTTCTTTATAGATCTTTATATTCTTATTTCTTGTTAAATTTTGTCTCTTATTCCCTGGTGGAAATCTGAAAAAGCTGTTCTGACCAATATCCAAATGGAATTCAGAAGTCTCACCATCCTCCATGAATTAAGAGCTAGTTTAGACTGAGAAACAAGAAAAGGCTGAATCCTGAGATAGGAACAATAGAATTTCACTGTATAAAATTGAAGCGAAACTAGATGTAGTAAGTCTTTATACATTACTTCTCCTATACTAATTTCAATATTAAAAAATGCCTGTATTTTTTTTCTGTGACCAAGATGAATTGTGGCTATAAATACTAGCATGTGGACTGTTCACTGATTTGCAAGCACAGATTAGGTCATCACCTGTCCAAGTGGTTACATTTACTTTTGCAAAAAGAGAGGCTTGGCTGAGGCTAGTCTGAAAATCTGGGATTTGGTGTACTAGAGCCTAACTACTGTGTTGCTTATGGCATCTCACAATGTAACACTCCTAGATAAGAATTTGATTTATATATTACAGGGGAATGTAGTGTTTAAATTCTTTGTTTTCCAGGTGACTGTTAACAATAGACAATTATTAGAACAGGGATCTACACATGCAAAATAGTGTTGGCTTGACACATTGAAGTCCTGGATGTGTGAAGTTCAAGTTGGCACTTGATCTTCAGCACCTGTTCAATTTCTTCCTGTCAATAGCATGGGCAAAGGTTGGGAACCCACCTTACTTCTGAGTTTCCAGGCTCTTGTCAGTTTGTGTTATGCTCACTTTTTTATTTTCAGTTTTAAGATTTGATTTTAGTTGGCAAGTGCCATTAAAGGGTCATCTGACTTACTTCCCCTCTGATCATCAGGACCCAGACAGCCCAGGTCACTTAATTCTTCCCATCACAAAGCAGTTTCTAATGCAGAGGAGACTGTTTGGAAGCCCCTACACCTGATTCCAAGGAATGTTGACTGTGCCTTGGAATCAGGTGGCACATATAACCAATGGCACCATAACCAATGAGTACTTTAGAAATGCAAATATAGTTAGAATTTCCCAGGATTTAGATTAAAAATGCAATTAATTCATTGGACCAAAGCAATAGAATTCTGTATTGACCATCTATATTTACTCTTGCATATATGTGCAGCTTTAAAATTAAAAAGAAATTGGAAGAATTCTAAGGTATATAGCACTTCAAAGATTTGTGCTGAGATTCCTTTCTATGAGTCTATACTATTGTTTCTATTGTGATCTGAATTACAAACCAAATGATTTCGTACACCCTAAAGGAAACAATACATCTTTGCTTCCAGAAGATCTTGGGTTTCAATTCCCCATTTCTAGTAAGCAATGGAACAGTGTATAACTGATAAAAGGAGGCCAGGAAAAAGGGCATATTTTTCCAAGGGCTAATAGAAATATATTTAATGCTAAGAGGTGAATACATACTTGAATCAGCTCACATCCGAAATTCATATTTCACCTTGAAAATACACCAAACTACAGGATTTTAAGAGGTGTTACTCAATTTCCAAAATGTATTAATTTCTGGTAGCAGAATTAAATTACATGGAGTATCTTGCACCTCTTGGGTCATTTGCCAAAAAAGAAAAAAAATCAGAATATAGTGTCAATACCTGAATGGGGAATGGGCATCTAGTTTTGAAATTATCGATTATTCTATTTCATGTGCATTTGACATCACAGTAGAAAACTGGGTTTAGTCCACACTTGCATCATCAACCCGATCTACAAGCATGTGGTACAAAGTGATGCAACAGAAGCAGAAGACGGAGTTGTAAACCATGTTTCAGAGTAGCAGCTGTGTTAGTCTGTATCCGCAAAAAGAAGAACAGGATTACTTGTGGCACCTTA